TTTGCCAAGTCATTCGTCTGGTGGAGAGTCGTTGCGCCACCACCTCTGGTTTCTCCTTCAAGTGGCGGTCAAGACACACAAATCAGATATGATCTAGTTCTTCTCTCCCCTCTAATCTATCTTTCTCTCAAAACTCGAGTTCTGATACCATGTGATTGAACAGAAAAGTATAGCAATACTTTATGATAATCTTATTCCAATAGATCTAAGAGATATATATATATATACACACATGGATTTATGTAAGGTAACTAACATAAATTAGCATATTAATTTGTTGTTTATAATTACGCTAATATATATGAAAAATAAACTACCGATAATTATGTTATTATTATACAAAAAAATTATGTTGTAATCTTGTAACAGTAAAAAGAACGGCAAAAGATACCCAACAAATTATGACTCTCGTACATGGTGTAGAGTGCTTATGGATACATAGTTAAAAGTTTAAGGTGAATCTATATTTCCAATTCAACAGCTAACCAAAGGAAATATAATCTTTAATAAATGACCTACAACCTCCACCAAACAAACCAGATTTTTAACAACAAAAACAGATAGAGTTAGCAGAACTTACAAAGATGGGCAATTTTGGGGCTGCTCTTCTCAACTTCATTTACAACACGAAGAATAGGGACAAGTTCAACCAATGAAGGAGGTACTATCTCACAATCAAAGGACTCTTCAGTATAGCCTACATCGTCCATCTCTAAGTTTTGTTGATTGGAGGCCCCTTTTATCAAGTGAAAAATATGATTAGCATTAATAAAACACCAAGAGTTGCAACCCAAAAACAAATTCTTTACAAGTCTATCAAAATATCAATAAACCACTCAGTTGATTGGAGCCCCTTATTGATGATAACATATGCCCTTGTGCCTCAATGAAACCCTCAAAAGTCCTAGCACCTTGTTTCCTTGCAACACGGAAGAAAGAAAAAAGTTGTACAATAAATCAAGGTTCATATTATTTATTTGAACAAAGCACAGAACGAGTAGTACATTAAAGGGGAAGAAGATTTTTCTCAAGGAAAACAGCAAAGGGCAATACCAAGCTAGTGAATGAAAGAAAAGAAGAAACTAGACATGCAATAAAAGACTAGCAAAACAATGCAGGAAAAAAGAAAAGTACAGAAGAATGCTGACAACCAAGAGTAACAAAAAAAAATCACTAAATAAACAAAAATAGACACTCAAGGATCAGTTCTGTCCAGAGCAGCCCAGATGACTATTATGAGCAAGCTTAAATTTAAATGGCATTCTAAAACTCATGGAGTTGGAAGAAATTCATTATAAAAAAGGAGAGACAATCTCTTAACAGATGCATCATCTAGGAAGATCCAAGTTATCTCAAAAGAAATATTCAGCAAAGCTGGCAGGTAAACCCTTTATCTAAGATCTAATCAAGCAGCTTCAAAGGGGAGAACAAACAGATTCGCCATATGTGTGAAAAGATGGATGCTTGAGAAGGAAAGGACAACCAGTAATAAGGTACAACACTGACTTTGGAACTCCACGTGCAGGTCATTCAGGTGTATTAGCCATTTCTAAATGTTTGGAAACGGTATTTTATTGGAAGGGTATGAAAAGAGATGTTCTAAACTCCATCCGTACTTGTGACGTTTGCCAAAGGTGGAAGGCAACCTTTCTCCATATCTAGGGTCATTACAACCCTTACCTATTCCTAATGTACCTTGGGTCAAGTATTTCAAAAGGACTCATCGAAATTCTGCTCAAATCTCAGGAAATGAAGTTACCGTGCATCGACTAATCAAATATCCTCATTCAAATTCGTTAGCACATCCCATCTAATTTAAACACCTTAAGTCAATAGCTATATAGTTATAACGGCCAAGTGTTTTGAATTAAACCCTAATTGAAAACCTAATTTAATTTTGTCAAGAGCAAATCTTATTTCACTAATTTCATAGGTGAAAAAAAGACATTTACTAAAGAAAAATTTTAGTTCCCTCTGGTAATTATTCTTAGTTTCACTTGCCCAAACCCAATTATGCAGGAGGATACTGAGTATTATCCTTGAAAACATAAGCACAAAAGACACGCACCTCAAAACCAAAATCAATCAAGCAATACTCTGCTCCTGCAACATGCCTTTCTGCCTCGTCGTCACCGTGCTCCTATTGCCATGGCAAATCTGGAAGCTGCCAACTTATTCCTCATACGTCGACCAAGAAAAGACAATCAAGTCATGCATTAAAAACTAAACTTGCTTTACTAATAAAACTTTGACCAACGGCTTTTGGAGTCTTTACAATTATTTTAATTTTCGATTAAATTAAAATTTTAAGTTTCTAATCTTATTTATTGTAAAATTATAATATATATCAAATTACATTAAAAAAATAGCATTATTATTAACATTATATTTTATTATAATTAATAATTTTTAATATCATATTTAGTTTATAATGCAATATAATACAGAGATTATCTCGTAAAATAACTCGATTCATATATTGAATAAATAATTTTTATTTATATACATATTTTATAATTTATTAAATTTATTTATTTACTTCTTTTAATATTCACTAAAAAAATTTATTTAATTTTTGGATTAAAAAATAAAATAATCAAATAATATAATAATCTAAATTAATAAAATAATATATATTAAGTTAATGCACATATAACTTATATAATAAATTAATATATAATTTTATCTTTTATCCAATATACATAAAATAACTCAATTCATATGGATAAATAATTTTTATATATTTTTTTATAATTTACTAAATTTATTCATTTAAACATTTCAATATTCACTAAATTTTTTCATTTAATGTTTGGATTAAAAAAATTAAAATAATCAAATAACATAATAATTTAATTTAATAAAATAATATATATTAAGTTAGTGCACATATAGCTTATATAATAATCTAATATATAATTTTATTTTATTTTTAATATCTGTAAAATAACTCGATTCATATATATTATGGATAAATAATTTATATAATTTTTAAATTTATTAAATTTATTCATTTTAATATTTATTATATTTTTTTATTACAATAATATAAATTAATAAAATAATATATATTAAGTTAGTGTACGTATAAATTAATATATAATTTTATTTTATCTCCAATATTTTTAAAATAACTCAATTTAACATATATTATGAATAAATAATTTATATATATTTTATAATTTACTAAATTTATTCATTTATAGTCGTTAAATTTTTTTATTTAATATTTTAGTTAAAAATTTTAAAATAATCAAATAACACAATTACTTTAACTTCATCAGAAAAAATGTCTTTGAAAACACTCATCGTCTTCAGAACCAACCTCCACTATCTCACTTCTTTGAAGATTTTCTGGTTGGCTGACACTCGATACTCTACCTTCCTGCACATTATTAGAACCAAGTTTTTAAAGTCTCTCTCCATGTTCTATCTTAAGATCTGTATACGTTTTCTCTCTTCTAACGAGATTATCTCCGGGGCTTCTCCCTGTTAATCCTGCTTCTTGATGGAAATCCTCTCTTATGCTGGTGATCTTGAGATGGGCTAAGAGGAAAACTTGCAGTCTCTGATAGGGAAGAAGATCTTGATCTCTTCATTGATCTTCTTCTTCCCCTAAACGCTTCTTCTGCAAGAAGCTTCTCTAATGAAGATGTCATTTCTGCTGGTACTAGAATCCCTAGCTCGGAAAGGGAAAAGCAGATCACTTTGTTTATGTCCAGAAAGAACAGACATAAAATGGGAATGTAAGGAAGAGCGACTAAAGAAAAAGCAAACGAGAAAGAAACTGCCTTCAAGTCACCTTTTCATTATGTTCTTTCTACTTAGATATTTTCTTATTTTACATTCATTACAATCAGTCTTTACATTTAAAATCCTATAAAAATACCACCTAAAGAACATTCCCTTAAAACCCATCTCAAGATAGAGAGGATTTCCATCAAGAAGTAGGATTAACAGGGAGGAGGCCCAGAGATAATCTAGTTAGATGAGAGAAAACGTATGCAGATCTTAAGATAGAAAATGGGGAAAGACTTAAAAAACTTGGTCCCAATGATGTGCAGGAAGGTAGAGTATCAATTGCCAACCAACCAGAAGATTTTCAAGGAAATGAGATAGGGGAGGTCGGTTCATTTTTTACCAATTTTTTTTATATCAAATTGTGACAGTTGAAACCGTTGAAGATTACAAATGATGACGTTGAACTTTAAGCCTGCAAATCAATACAAAATCTTCTTATCGCTATAATCATAATTTAATTATAATTTCCAACTCTCCATTTTCACTAATTCGCATATACTCTTATCTTGTCACCTTCTGTTTGTCATTCTTCATCACCAAAGCAATTCCATTGTTGCCTGCTGTATGCTTCTCCTTCTTTATCGCTCAGTCTTCTCTCTTTCCCCATTTGTTTTTTCCTCTGTTTTGAAGTCCTCTAGAAACAAAACCCTTCCCCTCTTATGGCTTTTCCTCACCCGGCATCTATTTTATTTCCCAACTCTTTCCTCATTAGATTCTTCGCTATTCCTCGAATCTACTTGTTACCCAGTTCTCCTCATCGAAAACCCAGGTTGTATTCTCAGATTTCGAGACTGGGTGATTGACTTTGATGATTCTCGGTCAAATTTGTTCGAAGAGAGGAGATTCAAAAGGTAGTTCTTGATTGTCCTTATGATTTTGCTTTTGATGATTGTCAGATTGTGTTGCTTGTAATTTGTGAAGCGAATATGTAGTTTCCAAATTGGGTATATGGGATTTTATTGAGTCAGTTATTTCAATTTCATAGGGTTGTAGACAGTGGAACAGGAGTTCTTGGTGACCTTAAGGGTTTTGCTGGGTCTCAGAAATTAACTCAAATTAACTCCTGTGTAGGGAAAATGTTCTTTAGGTGGTATTTTTATAGGATGTTTAAATGTGTAGACTGATTATAATGAATGTCAGATAAGAAAATATCCAAGTAGAAAGAACATAATGGAAAGGCAACATGAAGGCAGTATCTTTCTCCTTTGCTTTTCTTTAGTGGCTCTTCCTTACATTCCCATTTTATGACTGTTCTTTCTGGATTTTAAGAAGTGATCTGCTTTTTTTTTTCTTTGTTAACTTCTAATTCTATAGCCTCTCCTTTTCCTAGCTAGGGGTTCTAGTACGAGCAGAAATGGCTTCTTCATTAGAGAAGCTTCTTGCAGAAGAAGGGTTTAAGGGAAGAAGATCAATGAGGAGATCAAGATCTTCTTTCCTGTCAGAGACTGCAAGTGTGCCTCTTAGCCCATCTCAACATCAGCATAAGAGAGGATTTCCATCAAAAAGTATGATTAAGACAGAGAGGACAAGGTCTGACATGTCTCGGTTTGCTTTTAATGATGAACTGCCAAGAAGTCACAGTGTAAGAGGGAGAAGACCCAGAGATAATCCTGTTAGAAGAGAGAAAAAGTATGCAGGTCTTACGATAGAAAATGGGAAAAGACTTGAAAAACTTTATTCTAATGATGTGCAGGAAGATAGCGTATCAAGCGTCAACCAACCAGAAGATCTTCAAGGAAATGAGATAGTGGAGGTTGGTTCTGAAGAGGATGAAGGTTTTAAAGATATTTTTTCTGATGAAGTACATGGTTCAACGAGCAGAGAAAGTTATTTTACAGATATTGGAGATAAAGAAGGATACAGAGAAAGTTATGGAAATGGTACAGAAGTTAAGAAAAAAGCAGGAAAACGGTTCTAGCAAACACCCACTTGGAAGTACAAGTTCTGATGACAAGAATCGAAGAAGCATGAAACAGCCTGATAGTGCTGATGATAAAACCACTGGAGGTTCATGGAAGAATAAAAGCTTCAAGGATGATCAGAATCAAGAGCATAGCAAGTTTGTACAAACAGTTTCTGAACCTGCTCTTGATGAAGTTGCAGTTCACGCCATGATATCCATTTTAAGTGGTCATATTAAATGTTTTTTCAAAGATAAGGATTTCAGAACCAATCTTCATCGCAATTGTATCTCTTCTCTTAAGTTTAACAGTCTTGAAGACCAAAATGTTGAGAGCAAAGTCATGGCAAACCTTGTAGAAGCCATAGCCACGATAGAAGCTGCTACTGAGCAGGCTATTGGTATCAGAGAACTAAAGAAAGCTTCACGGCAGCTTACTGTGATTACTGGCTTGAGTTCAAATGATTTGAAGGACAGGTTCACATCTGGGATTCCCAATTTTATGTTGTCAGCTTGTGCTCATCTTTACCTCAGTGTGATCTATAAGCTACAAAAGAAGGATAGCATGTCAGCTAAACATCTTTTGCAGGTGTTTTGTGATTCTCCATTTCAGGCACGTGAATTATTGTTGCCTGAACTTTGGGACTTTTTATTTTTTCCGCATCTTTCACATTTGAAGGAATGGTATGATCAAGAGGTTACTTCACTAGTTGATGCACCAGGAAGGTTGAGGAAGTTGAAGCTTCTTGAGAAAGTCTATAATGAAATTCTGGACAGTGGTACTTCCCAATTTGCACTTTACTACCGGGATTGGCTGACAGGTCGAGTCAAGGCCCCTTCCGTTCCTTCTATACAGGTTCCTCCTGTACCTTTCCAGAGACTTCAGAAGGGAGGTTCCTTTTCTCATTCTTCAGAGGTAGCTAGCCCCTCTGGTCCGTTCTCACCTCAGCCAATGGTCAGTAGGAAATTGTATGATGCCGTATTTGGTCGGCCATCTAAACCTGAAGTTGATACTGCTGAATACAATATGGAAGCCAATGACTTTGAAGATTATGTGCAGAGCTCTGATGGATCTGCTGAACTTAAACATCCAATAAGTTACTATTCTAAGATGGTTGACCATCTTGATCTAGAACTTGAAGAAGGCTCCTATAAGAGTGCATGTGATTGTGAATTTGTGTCTGTAAGTAACCTTGTTTGCATAAGGGCGTGTGCATATTTGCATTGTTCTTTAGTTACAAATGCAGATTGATAAATTTGGCCTTTGCTTTACAGAATCTCCTAAAAAGGTTCCTGAAAGGATTGCTAGTGCTAGATTTCATCTTCTTTGTCCCATAAGATACCTTGCTCTATGCATAAAATACCTGCCATCATGCAATATATAGCACTGAGGGTTGGGGAAGTATTTGGATAAATATGTTTTGCGTGCTCACAAAATGCTACTACTGGATATGTTATCTCTTTGACAGAATCAACAAAAGCTAGAGTCTCTTCACATCTTATGCTGACATTAGTTATCGAGGCATTCCTCACATTTTATTCATATATCTTGGTGATTCACTTCAATTAAGTTTACTGCTTAATCAAATCTGCTACATCCCTTTTGCCCTAATTCAGTATTAGAAATTAAATCAGCGCTCCAAACCAAAAACCATGGATTCTGTCATTCAAACTATATAGGAGCCCATTGGCAGCCATGATTGTTTGCTTTTCTAATGTAATTAATAGTGTTACCTACTGATAAACTTAATCTTCAGTTTATTTATTCTCTCCTACTTTCTATGTTTTAAATTCTGTAATTCATGTTCTCATGATTTAAAATTTCTGTAGGAAGATAGACTCTCATTGAAAACTGAGGAGGACTTGAAGTTGATTGCAGCAAGGGTAACATGTGAAAGACATATTGATGATGCTAGCGATAGCTCCAACACACAGCAAAAATCTGCTAACAGTCTCCATATTCTGCATCCATCACCCTACCTAAAAGAAAAAGAGCCTTCACTCAAGAGTGAAGTGCAGCAGACAGAGGGATCTGTTGCTGTCACCCTTTACAATGAGGTGCTGACATACAATCCTCTATTAAAAGTAACAAGTCTTGGTAACTTTTAATATTCATTATGATTTTCTTGTTATTCTCCAGTAAGTTGTCCCCTAATTTATTATTTCTCAATTGCAGCCTACAAATAGGAGTTGTTCTTTTGAAGGTGAGTTGGAAAGGAAAAAGTTAAAACTGTGTTGCTTTAGACGAGTTGAACTTTCCCCTCATTTGGATTATTCAACTTTCCTTCATTACAGAGCTGCATGGAAACTGCAAAGGCTTTGACGAAGGATCCTTTTTCTCAAACATTCCAAAAGATTTTATTTGTCCTCTAACTGGAAAGTTGTTAGAAGATCCAGTTACCTTAGAGACAGGCCAAACCTTTGAGCAAGCAGCAATCAAGGAATGGATTGATCAGGGAAACAGGACATGTCCAGCAACAGGAAAAAGATTGGAATATTTATCTGTGCCAGTTACAAACTTCATTTTGAAGCGTGTTATTGATAATTGGAAATCAGAAAACCGTAGACATCTTTTGGATTTTGCCTCCCAACTGATGGGAAATTCTCTCGGATGTGGACTGACACAAAGTGACAATTCATCTATTTTCATACTAGAGCAGCTTCTTACTGCTTTCAGCAAGGAGGAAAGAATAGCAAATATCCAACACTTCCTCTCCATTGGAGGTTTGCATTATCTTATTAGAAGGCTTGAACTTGGAAATTTAGAGGAAAAAACACGAGTAGCAGCACTTTTGTCCTATTGTATTGAAGCAGATACTGGTTGCAGAAACCAGATAGTAGGAAGTATCAATATACAGTCTTTGCTTAAGCTCCTACACGGTAAACAAGCTAAGTCAAGAAGGAATGCAGTTATGTTGCTGATTGAACTGATTTGCATGAGCAGGTATATATTCTTTGGTATTTCTGCTGTTCTGATTTCCTTCTAGGCCATTAACAACAGTTGATACCACAATTTGCAACTTTCCCACTCTTAGCTTGCCCTTTATTTTTCTTTTATATTTAAGATGCTGGAAAGAATGAGGATTTGGTTCTTGTTTAACATGGTGGATTGTCAGAGCTGGTGTTAGAGATTAATTAGTCCATTTGGAATTTGAAAAGTGGAAAGTCACTTGATAGGCGTCAAAAGCAGGAAACATGATAGAAGTTTGTTCTTTTGGCTGAGTGGTTTGGGGTGGTAGAAAGGGCATAAACTTTGAGATGAAAAGCCAATGAAGCGGAGAGGTGGGGCTCATGTTTACATGAGATGCTAAAGGTAACCTGCCCAGAAAATGGGCTCATATTTTTCTAACATAAAAATAGAAAAGCTGTATGGAGCGACGATACCTAAACTTGATTAAGTTTAATCTCTTGGTTTGTGTTGATCGTAAAATGAAATAAAAGAATCTTGTTCTTGAGGTAAAATATGTTAAGAGGAAAATAGATAGGGAAGAAACCAAAGACGAATTAATGTTGTTATTCGCCTTTTGAATTGTGTACCTTTTTTGTTTGTCCTTGTTCAAGAAAAAGGAAGCTATCTCTTTCTTAAATTAAGCACCACAGTTTATAATTTCAGTTAGATGTTCAGGTTATTACTCTCTTATCGTTCTGCTTTCTTATCTTTATATTTGGCACAAGAATTGAGCGTATAGAAACTCATCTTCTTGGTAGTAGACTTAGAATTATTATCAAGGAAAAATGTGAAGGTTTCCCATCAGCAATGCTAATTTTAGGTGAATGTTTGCTGGATTTCTCATCTATTCATTTTCTCTTATCACTTGTTAAAGGAGGAAAGATGTCTCATTAATTTTAAGCGGGCTAGAGTATGGAGAGATGATGAAGACAATGCACGTGTTACTCCTTTATCTCAAGAGTTCTTCACCTGTGCAAAGACCCTTTGTTGCCGTCCTTCTCCTACACTTCGACCTTTTGGTACCCTTCTAGAATATATATGTATATATTTTAATTTAATTGTGCATCCTTTCTTAGTTGTGATTTTGAGTTTTCTTTTGACACAAGTCACAGACAGAGCCACGAAAATGCAGCATATATAGGGAGGAAGCTGTTGATGCCATTGCAGTTGCCTTGGATATGAGTATAGTTGATAAGAAGGTCCGACAAAATTGCTGCCAAGCATTACTTATCCTGGGAGGACATTTTTCTTCCTCTGGCATTTTATTGACTGATAAATGGATCCTGGAGAAAGCAGGGTTCAGCAGTAAAAAATATCTTGATGGTGGAGATAACTTAGTAGCCAATAACACTATTTCATTGGTATGTATGATCTCTTTCCTCTATCTCTTCCTCTTTCTCATCTTGACTTTCTCCCAGCAGATTTTCTTAGTGTTACAAACCTTTTCTGTTGCTGTAAACTCATACCAGTAATTTTTTCTGAATTTCTGACTCCAAATACAGGTTGACGAGGAACAAGCTGGTGAAACATGGTTGAGGAAGGTGTCAATATCATTACTTGGCAGTGGGAAGCAATCATTTACAGGATCCATTTGCTTATGTTTAGGCTCTGCAAACATAGATCTCATAAGAGTTTGTCTTGTCACCATTGCTTGGTTGAGTCATGCACTTTCTTCCATATCTGATTCTGAGTTCCAGCTCCCTGCCTTCTCAAAGCTTATCTCTCAGCTGAAAGAAACTCTGAAACATGGACAGCAGGTTGAGGACAGAGTTCTTGCTTCAATGTGTTTACTCAACTTCAGCCAAATACCAGGTTTGAAACTCCTGTTCGCAATCGTTAACTAATTTGAAAATAGGATTGCTTTAAGTTGTTGTCTTCGGGCTAGAAGGTCTACAGGTATTTCTTTGTATGAAGAAGTAATTATACTACGCTGCAAAATATTTGTTAATTGATAACATTTGGCTTAGCCTAGTTCAGCTTTTTGCCAAAATTCCCTGATTCAGTAATATAATGCTTTGTTATAGAGCTTTCAGTTTTAGATTCAATCTTCATGGTGCGGAAAAGAAAAAAAGATGACAGCCTGCTTCATGCCAGTATGCTGAATGGACATGCATAAAAATTTTAAATCCCAGTTTTGAAATTACCATGTTACCTTTTTATTGCAGAATGCAGGGTGTTGTTGACAATAATTGCAAAAGAAATTGCAGATTCTCTACGAGCCCTTGCTGAAGTAACATGGACTTCCAGAAAACTATACGCAGTTCTTTCTGGGGAAGAACTTTGATTTGAAAATAAAAAATGCTTCAAAAATTTACCATGCCTCAGAGGTACAATTCCTTCATGCAACTTGCTAAAATACTTCAATTACTTAGTAATCAGTTAATCTTGGGTAGTAATTTACTATATACAATGTTATACAAAGTTACCAAGTTACTATGAAATGCTTGAAGGATTACCTGGAGGATAGTGTCTCCAAGGCATTATAGCAAAAACCCAGAAGTGCTATTGCTCTGAACATCTAGGAATTTTTGCAGGTACAGAGGGTTTCTCTTTTGAAATGGATATCTGCTATTCCAGAGATGGTCGAAAGTAAAATCAGCGCCGTCCATAGATGTTATGCTCATTGTAATCAACATCTTGATGACAGTTATTTTATTCTGAAACTCCTTTTTTTTTTTGGTTTTGATATCTGTAAATTGAGTTAGTAACAGTTGTAAGAAATCCTGCACAGAAGTAA